TGGGCAAACATACAAAATCAGCAGGGGATCAAATACTTTTTTTCCCTCACTGTATATTTCTACGTATCTCTATGAATCTGTATATCTCTATGAATTTGTATATCTCTATGAATCTCTACGTATTTCTATGAGTCTCTACGTATCTCTCTGTTGGTCTCGATGTATCGCACACGCGCGTTGTTGGGGCAAGGGCATTGATAGAGCTTTGAAATCTACACAGGTCTCTCTCCCTCTCTCTCTCTCTCCCACTCATCTCACGCTGATCAAAGCTCCAGAAGGCGCCAATGGAACAAAAGCATCGAAGGGTCGTGAGCTAGACAGACAGCGAGCGAGAGAGAGGAAGGGAGAGTGGAGGGAGTGTGTACGTATGAACATGGAGCAGTGGCGCTCTAGCTAGCGCCATGCACGACGAACCCAGCTCACAACAACGAGCGGAGCACCGGGCAGATAAAACACAGCAAATTGGCACAGCAGAGGGCGTAGGTGGGGCACCTAGCCTGGCACAGCAGTCAACCCATGGCACCTGCATGGTCAGACCCGTGGTGAACGGCGGCTGTTGTTTTGGTTGAGTTGGGTGAGTGGGTGGGTGAGTGGGTGGGTGAGTGGGTAGGTGGGCGGGTGGGTTGGTGAGCGGGTGGGTGGGTGAGCAGGAGGGTGGGTGAGTAGGTCGATGAGTGAGTAAGTGGATGAGTGGGTGGGTGAGTGGGTGGATGAGTGGGTGGGTGAGTGGGTGGATGAGTGGGTGGGTGAGTGGGTGGGTGAGTAGGTGAGTGGGTGGATGAGTAGGTGGGTGAGTGGGTGAGTGGGTGGGTTAGTGGGTGGGTGAGTGGGTGGGAGGATGAGTGGGTGGGTGAGTGGGTGGGTGACTAAGTGGGTGGGTAGCAGTGAGCGGTGGCGCAGCGGTTAGCGCTACCTTGTGTCTCTCATTCAGACGATGTCTCCCCGACAGACCTGGTCTTCACCTGAGGACGGCTGCTTGCGTTGTGGCCGAAACGTCGTGAGAATTATTTTATTATGTTTTATTTTTTATTATTTTATTATTTCCCTTCTACGTGACTTTACCGAAAGAACCAAGAAAATCATCAACATCACGCGGAAATTTAAAGCTGCAGCCAAATATTCTCTAAATCCCCGTGGTGGGCATTGCGTGGATTTATCTCTGGTCCTCCGCATTTAGAATCAACCTCCAACGCGCCAAGAGTTGTTTGGCTTGACTCCTTGCTAAAGGTTTCTCTTTGGTGTTTAAAAACACAACGCCTGTTGTATTTCCAATTCTTATTTTTCATACTTTTGTAATGAGAGAGCACCATCTAGGGGACGACGAGGGGTATCTGCATAAGCCACCACTGGGTAACGAATACCCAATGGGAAGTGTGGGATCCATCTGGGCCAAAGGTGATGGGCGGAGCTAGAGGGTACGTGCGAGAACAGTCGAGAAGGTTCTACGAGGGGGCGTGTCTGGAGGCGGAGCTTGCTCGGCCGAGGAGAATATAAGGGGAGGCAGTGAGAGGGCGTTTGGGTCGGTGTGGGAAGCCTGGAGTCCGGACTGCATCAACGCCACCGGCCACGTAGCGGTCCTTCCAGTGAAGCCGTCTCTCCTCCCGCGGTGGACAGGGAGCGAGAGGGAGAGACGCGCAGCGATGGTGGAGCAGAGAGGGCGCGCGTCACGGCAGAGGAAGAGAGAGAGAGCGGAGCAGTGCAGTCATATAATAAAGGCGCCAGTCAACAGTTGTCGTGGAAGTGCTTTGTTACGCTTTGATACTTTCAAAAAGGCATCCCATCATATAGCTGCTGCTCAGCCCGAGCAATAAATGCTCTGATACGCGTGGCATTGTCTTTGTACTGGTCGCCTTTTGGTGTTGTTTTCTTGTCTGATGCTGGTAGTGAGACTGGGTCATAAAGAAGGTTGCTGTCCCTGGTGTAAGCCAATTAGTTTTAATGCCAATGCCCATATATTATCAGGGTTTTTGCATGTTCCACCACAAGTACTTTGTGTGGTTAATGCAGTACTTGATTCCTTGCAAAAAGGTTGAATCTTTTCGGTGTTTGACAGAGCACCTCCTTCTAGATTTGAAGCTTTCGTGACTGCAAGGATTCATACTCTTAGGTTTTTTCGGTAAAGTCACGTAGGTAAAAAAAAATAGCAATAAAATTGATTTATTATTATTTTATTTTTGTATTTTTATTTTTTACCTACGTGACTTTACCGAAAAAAAAACCTAAGAGTATAGAGCACCTCCAGTTGCATTGCCAAACACGACAAAACAACCTACTTCTTATCTTTCACAGTGCACAGATTCGTTTAGAACGCCCTCGTCGCTTTGAGCCGACGTGTGTAGCCTGACTCGTGAAAGCAACGTTGGCTTGTCCCCTTAGGGGGGGGAGGGGACTACATCCTGCTGAAACCTTTCCCATACCGATGACGTGCATATACGTCATCAGTATATGTTTTATTCCTATTACGCTCCTATGACGTAAGTGTATGTCAACCTAGATTTGAAGCTTTCGTGACTGCAAGGATTCATACTCTTAGGTTTTTTCGGTAAATCTTCTTGGTTCTTTCGGTAAAGTCACGTAGAAGGGAAGTAATAAAATAATAAAAATAAAACATAATAAAACAATTCTCACGACGTTTCGGCCACAACGCAAGCAGCCGTCCTCAGGTGAAAAAACCAGGTCCGTCGAGGCGACAGAGTCTGAATGAAACAGCACACGAGCTTGGAGCATATATATATAAGCTGGGCGCCTTGACAAAGGAATTTGCAAATCGAAATTTTTCGGTAAAGTCACGTAGGTAAAAAATAAAATAATTAATAAAAGTAAAATGAAACAAATTCAAAAATTCACGACGTATCAAGTAAATGAGATAGCTGTCGTGGCTGTGACGGTTCCACCTGCAGACGGAGGCTTGTGTTGATTCCGAAACGTCGTGAATTTTTTTATTTGTTTAATTTTACTTTTATCAATTACATTTTTTTTTACCTACGTGACTTTACCGAAAAAACCTAAGAGTATGTATGTCAACCGGTTTTTATTCCTATTACGTTCCTATAACGTAGGTATACGTCATGCGTTTTTTATGCTTATTACGTTCCTATGATGTAAGTGTACGTCATCCGTTTTCCCTATGACGCAGGTGTATGTCATCCGTTTTTACTCTCATTATGTTCCTATGATGTAAGTGTATGTCATCCATTTTTTATTTCTATTACGTTCTTATGATGTAAGTGTACGTCTTCCGTTTTTTTATTCTCATAACGTTCCTATGATGTATGTCATCCCTTTTTTATTCCTATTATACGTTCCCATGACGTAAGTGTATGTCATTCGTTTTTTTCTATCACGCTCCTATGACGTAAGTGTACGTCAACCGTCTTTTTATTCCTATTACGTTCCTATAACGTCGGTATATGTCATCCGTTTTTTATTCCTATTACGTTCCTATGACGTAAGTGTACGTCATCCGTTTTTATTCCTATTACGTTCCTGTGACAAAAGTGTAAGTCATCCCTTTTTTATTCTTATTGCGTTCCTATGGCGTAAGTGTACCTCATCCGTTGTATATATTATGTTCCTATGATGTAGGTGTACATCATAGGTGTTTTACTCCTATTATGTCCCTATGACATGAGTGTACGTCATCCGTTTTTTATTCCTATTATGTGCCTATGACGTAGGTGTACATCATCCGTTTTTACTCCCATTACGTTTATATGACGTAAGTGCATGTCATCCGCTTTTATTCCTAATACGTTCCTATGACATAAGTGCATGTCATCCGTTTTTATTCCTAATACGTTCCTATGACGTAAGTGTACATCATCTCTTTTTAATTCCTATTAGGTTCCTATGAAGTAAGTGTACATTTTCCGGTTTTTATATTCCCATTACGTTCCTATGACGTAAATGTACGTCATCCCTTTTTATTCCTATTACGTTCCTATGACGTAAGTGTACGTCATCCGATTTTTCCCTATGACGTAGGTGTATGTCATCAGTTTTTTTCCTATTACGTTCCTATGGTGTAAGTGTACCTCATCCGTTTTGTATATTCCGTTCCTTTGATGTAAGTGTACGTCATCCATTTTTTATTCCTATTATGTTCCTATGACGTAAGTGTACGTTATTCGTTTTCCCTATTACGTAGGTGTATGTCATTCGTTTTTTAATTCCTATTACGTTCATATGATGTAAGTGTTCCTCATTCGTTTTTTACTGCTATTACTTCCCTATGACGTAAGTGTACGTCATCCGTTTTGTATTTCTTATACGCTTTCATGACGTAAGTGTACGTCATCCGTTTTTAATTCCTATTACGTTCCGATGATGTAAATGTATGTCATCCGTTCTTTTATTCCTATTACGTCTCTATGACGTAAGTGTATGTCATCAGTTTTTTTATTTATATTACATTCCTATGACGTAAGTGTGTCATCCCTTTTTTATTCCTATTTCGTTCTGATGATGTAAGTGGACATTATCAATTTTTCCCTATGACGTAGGTGTACATCATCCGTTTTTTTATTCCTTTTACGTCCCTATAACATATTTTTTATTTCTATTACGTCCCTATAATGCAAATGTACGTCATCCGTTTTTTATTCCTATCACGTTCTTCTGACGTAGATGTACGTCATCCGTTTTTTATTCCTATTACGTTCCTACGATGTAAGTGTACGTCATCATTTCGATTTAAAGCTTTCGTGACTGCAGGGATTCATCTTCTTGGTTCTTTCGGTAAAGTCACTTTACCGAAAGAACCAAGAAAATGTACGTCATCAGTTTTTTTCCATTCTCCGGGGAAAGGGGAGGGTGTGGATAATGCTGACAGGGTGATGTCTCGCATCTCTCTCTCCATTCCTCTCTCCCAATACTAACAACTCTCCTCCTCTCTCCCCACATCTCCTTTCCTCCCTTCCTCCCTCAATCCCTCCCTCCCACTTTCTCCCCTGATCCACCACCACCACCACCACCCTCCACCCTACTATCTTACCCCGTAGGTCTCGGGAGTTGATTCGCGAGGCGATCCTGGACAACGACTTCATGAAGAACCTGGAGCTGTCGCAGATCCTCGAGGTGGTCGACTCCATGCACCCGGTGGAGTTCACGCGCGGCAGCTGCATCATCCGCGAGGGCGATGTGGGGTCACTCGTCTACGTCATGGAGGGTGAGTGGGTGGCTGGGTGGGTGGGTGTGGGTGAGTGTACGTACGAGACAATGTCAGTCAACTAAGTGTACCTGTGTGTACCTGTGTGTTTGATTCCCGCTCATAGCCAACACCACCGGTGACGATTATTTGAACTGGTCCTGGGCCTCCCATATGGTCGACTCAAATAAGTACCTGGTGCGGTGCCTAGTTAACATCGCCACTGGGGAGACAAAGGCGGCCGGGCGTGGTGCTGGCCACCCACACCCTCGTGTGCTGTGCCAGCCTTCACAGGTGCTCGCTAACAGTACTTGCCCCAACAGTCTGTTCCGGCTATCCGGGGAATATTTGTCTTGTATGAATGTGAATTTGTGAGTATCTAGCAGTAAGTGAGTGTGAGTGTTCACCAGTAAGAGAGTGAGTGTGAGTGTGGGAGAGTGAGTGTGAATGGGTGAATGTGAGTGAGTGTGAGTGAGTGGGTCAGTCCACCATCAGTGTTTGTCTTTGTCTATCTAGTGGGTAATGGAAACATCAACCCCCTACCTCCTGGTTGGTTTTCAGGACGGTAAAGCTGTGGTGGCTGTGAGCATTGCCATGGAGGGAAGGCCAATTCCAATTGGCTGTTCCCCTCGTGGCGACCGTAGCCACCACAGCAGCCATTGGGGCTCTTTGGAAAGATTGGAAGGCATGGGCCAGATCAGCTCAATAGCAATGGTAGGAGGCTGCTAGACTTCTGTGCAGCCCATGGGCTTGTAATTACCAACACGCTGTTCCGGCATCGGCGCATCCACACAACATCATGGATGCTGAGCTATATAGTGATGGAACAGCGGATGCAGGCCCGTGTCCATGACAACAGGACCTATCATGGAGCTGATCAGCCCATTGACCATCGGCTTGTCATCTGTAATATGCGCCTGCCATTATTCCACTCCAGTGGTGGGTGTACACCCAGGACCCCATTCAAACCCACAAGTAGCTGAGGATAGTTGCAAGCGAGAATTCCATCATCGCTTGCAGCTGGGATTAGCATTGTGCCCCCTGCCCTCCCCTCCTTTTGATGCCGAGTGGGCGAGCTGCTATGGCTGCTGTTGTTGTTGTGTCTGTGTGTGCCCATCAATCTGCGCGTAACATCGGGTCAAGGCCATTCCTGCATAGTTGAAAACTCTCCTCTCTCCCTCTCTCTTCCTCCCCTCCCTCCACTCCCTGCCTCCCCCTCTGTCCCTCTCCCCCCCCCCCTCTCTAGAGGGCCGAGTGGTCGTCACCAAGGAGGGGGTGAAGCTGTGCACCATGAGTCCAGGGAAAGTATTTGGCGAGCTCGCCATCCTCTACAACTGCACCCGTACGGCCACCGTCAAGGGTGAGGTTTACGATGGCCGGGTCGCTGGGTTCACGATGGCTGGGTCACTGGGTTCATGATGGGTGGGTCCCTGGGTTCACAATGGCCGGGTCACTGGGTTTACGATGGTCGGGTCACTGGCATCACAATGGCCGGGTCGCTGGGTTCACGATGGCTGAGTCCCTGGGTTAAAGATGGGTGGGTCGCTGGGTTCAAGATGGGTGAGTCGCTTGGTTCAAGATGGCCGAGTCAATGGGTTCACGATGGGTGAGTCGCTGGGTTTACGATGGCCGGATCACTGGCATCACAATGGCCGGGTCGCTGGGTTCACGATGGGTGGGTCGCTAGGTTCAAGATGGCCGTGTCGCTGGGTTCACGATGGGTGGGTCGCTGGGTTCAAGATGGCCGAGTCACTGGGTTCACGATGGACGGGTCGCTGGGTTCACGATGGACGGGTCGCTGGGTTCATGATGGACGGGTCGCTGGGTTCACGATGGACGGGTCCCTGGGTGCATGATGGACGGGTCGCTGGGTTCAAGATGAGTGGGTCGCTGGGTTCAAGATGGCCGAGTCACTGGGTTCATGATAGCCGAGTCACTGGGTTCACGATGGACGGGTCACTGGGTTCATGATGGACGGGTCACTGGGTTCAAGATGAGTGGGTCGCTGGGTTCAAGATGGCCGAGTCACTGGGTTCACGATGAGTGGGTCGCTGGGTTCATGATGGACGGGTCGCTGGGTTCAAGATGAGTGGGTCGCTGGGTTCAAGATGGCCGGGTCGCTGGGTTCATGATGGACGGGTCGCTGGGTTCAAGATGAGTGGGTCGCTGGGTTCACGATGGCCGGGTCACTGGGTTCATGATGGGTGGGTCGCTGGGTTCAAGATGAGTGGGTCGCTGGGTTCAAGATGGCCGGGGCGCTGGGTTCAAGATGGCCGGGTCGCTGGGTTCACGATGGCTGGGTCACTGGGTTCATGATGGGTGGGTCGCTGGGTTCAAGATGAGTGGGTCGCTGGGTTCAAGATGGCCGGGTCGCTGGGTTCAAGATGGCCAGGTCGCTGGGTTCACGATGGCCGGGTCACTGGGTTCATGATGGGTGGGTCGCTGGGTTCAAGATGAGTGGGTCGCTGGGTTAAAGATAGCCGAGTCACTGGGTTCATGATGGACGGGTCGCTGGGTTCACGATGGGTGGGTCGCTGGGTTCAAGATGGCCCAGTCACTGGGTTCATGATGGGTGGGTCGCTGGGTTCACGATGGACGGGTCGCTGGGTTCACGATGGGTGGGTCACTGGGTTCAAGATGGCCAAGTCACTGGGTTCACGATGGGTGGGTCACTGGGTTCACGATGGACGGGTCGCTGGGTTCACGATGGACGGGTCGCTGTGTTCAAGATGGCCGGGTCGCTGGGTTCAAGATGAGTGGGTCGCTGGGTTCACGATGGACGGGTCCCTGGGTGCATGATGGACGGGTCGCTGGGTTCACGATGGACGGGTCCCTGGGTGCATGATGGACGGGTTGCTGGGCTCATGATGGCTGTGTCGCTGGGTGAGTCTCACGATGGCCGGATTGCTGGGTTCACTATGGCCGGGTCGCTGGGTTCACGATGACCGTGTCAAAAACACTGAGATCCCTGGTCTGTGTGTATATCTCTCTCTCTCTCTGAGTCTTAATTTAAAGAAAAAGAGAGAGAGAGTGGGAGAGATGGGTGCGAGAAAGGGAGAGGGAGGGGGAGAGGATGTATAGACAAATAGAATATAGAGGAAGATGGAATAGGAGAGACACGGAGGGAGAGAGGGAGGAGAGGGCTGTGAGTGGAGATGTTATTGCCCTCATTGCCATGTGAGTCACGTGCAGCTACCATCAACATAAACAGAGACACAGAGAGTGGGTGAGTAGGTGGGTCAGTGGTTGATTGTTTGAGTGAGTAGATGAATGAGCGGGTGTGTGGGTAGGTCAGTGGGTGGGTGAGTGTATGAGTTGGTGGGTTAGTTTGCGAGTGAGTGGGTGCACGTGCCAGTGAACGAGTGGGGTGGATGTGAGTGTGGGGAGACAGGCGGTCAAGCGTAGTGGTGTCCACCCACTCCCTCGTGGGCGGTGTCGGCCTTCATAGTTGGCGCTCGCTACTCTCAACATTAACAGAGATACAGAGTGGGTGAGTGAGTAGGTGAGCGTTTGAGTTGGTGAGTGGCCGAGTTGGTGAATTATTGGATGAGTAGGCAAATGAGTGGGTGAGTACATGGGTGATTGGGTGAGTTGGTGAATTAGTGGGTGAGTGTGCCTGTGAGTGGGTGGGTGATTGGCTGCGTTTGAGTTGGCAGGTTGGTGAGTGGGTGAATGATTGGACGGTTGAGTGAGTGCATGGGTGAATGTGTAAGTGAGTGGTTGGTGAGTGTTGCCTTCATGCGGAGACTATTAGGAAGGTAATTGTCTGTTTAAGAGCTCTACTGAGGGATGACGGAGAAGAGGAGAGGGGGGACCTCTGTCAATCGAAAGGAGGGAGAATGCCACTCTCCCTGTCAAACACGTCGATTCACACACGGCGAGAAACACTCATACACTCATAGACGAATTTATAAACTCATAGAATCGCAGACTCACTCACACACTCATACATCGAGACACGTTTAGGCTCACACACTCATCGACTCACTCACACACTCATACATAGAGACACTCATACACCCGTATACTCACTCACTCATCGATTCACTTAGACACTCATAGACTCACTCAGACACTTTTAGACTCAGTCACACAATCATAGACGAATTTATAGACTCATAGAATCGCAGACTCACTCACACACTCATACATAGAGACACTCATACACCCGTAGACTCACTCACTCATCGATTCACTTAGACCAGGGGTCGGCAACCAAAATAACAAGAAGAGCCATTTCTTTCCAATTCGGTACAAAATTCAGTATTTCAAGAGCCGCAATGCATCTGAGTACATACGTACATATCGTCAAGAAGCAGCCCATAAAGAGCCGCATGCGGCTCCGGAGCCGTAGGTTGCCGACCTCTGACTTAGACACTCATAGACTCACTCAGACACTTTTAGACTCAGTCACACAATCATAGACTCAGAGACTCATAGACTCACACATACGCACACACTGAGAGACTCACACACACACACAACGACACACACACTCACTCACATAGACTCAAACAAATCCATTGACTCACGCACACTGATACTCACTCATACACCCATGCATAACCTCACTCAGTCACCCATATACTCAACCACCCACTCGCCCACTCACCCAGGAACACAAACACACATATGCTCCACATACACACACTCATCCACTCACCCATACATTCACCCAAACCACTTATGTGAATATATAATAACACGCACACACACCCACGCACTCACCCACTGACTCATTCACTCACCTACTCACTGGCCCACCAAACTCACTCGCACAAACACTTATACATTTACTCATTCAATCACTCATTCTCCCACCCACACGCCCACCCACGCATTCACACACACACATATACACAAATACACACTCACTCCGTATAGCCTGTAACAGACTGTTGGGGCAAGTGTTGTTAATAGCGAGTAGCAGTCACTCACTCACTCATTCACTCATCTATTCATTCACTAACACGTTCCGCCACTCACTCGCTCACCCACTCACACAAACACCAATGCATTTACTCATTCAATCGCTCACTCACCCACTCACTCACCCACACACCCATCCATTCACAGCAGCATAAATACCTAATCACTCATTCACCCACTGACCCACATAACCATACATACATAAAGCCTGTAGCATACTGCACGGACAAGTGCTCTTAGAGAGTAGCAGCGGCACCTATGAAGGCCGTCACTGTGACACAAGAGGGGGTGGGTGTCCAGGACCGCGCCCGGTCGCCTTTGTCTCTCCCGAGTGGCGATATTTACTGCGCACCGCACCAGGTACTCATTTGACGCTGAGTTGACTTAGGGGAGGCCCAGGACCGGTTCCGATAAATACTATAACTGGGTCTTAGTCGCCGTGAGCTAACCGCTCCCCATAACGATGATGATTACAATCATAGCAATAAATATCATACACACACATGCATACTGATCCACTCACTCGCCCACTCACACACTCACCCACTCACCCACGCTCACTCACCCACACGCTCACTCACGCATCCATTCACTCACTCACCCACCCACCAATTTACCCATTCATCTACACACACACATTCAAAACTCACACACACACGCTCACTCACCCACGCTCACTCACCCACACGCTCACTCACCCATCCATTCACTCTCTCACCCACACACCCATTTACTCACTCACCCACCCACCTACCAATTCACCCATTCATCAACACACACACATTCAAAACTCACACACACACGCTCACTCACCCACGCTCACCCATCCACACGCTCACTCACCCATCCATTCACTCACTCACCCACACACCCACACACCCATTTACTCACTCACCCACGCCCCAATTCACCCATTCATCAACACACACACACCCATTCAAAACTCACACACACGCTCACTCACCCACGCTCACTCACCCACACGCTCACTCACCCATCTATTCACACGCTCACTCACCCATCCATTCACTCACTCACCCACACACCCATTTACTCACTCACCCACCCACCAATTCACCCATTCATCAACACACACACACACCCATTCAAAACTCACACACACACGCGCACGTGTGTGCTAGTGTGCATCCCTGGTTGCCATGGAGACTCGCTGCTCTGCCTCCCGTTGCTACCCATGGCGTTGGTTGCCATGGACACGCGGAGGCAAATCACAGGGTGTGTGCACACTCCCTTTAAACACTGGGTCTCCGACCCGCACACACACACAAACAAAGACAAAGATCCCCCGTGTAGCCTCAACAGACTGTTGGGGCAAGTGCTGTTAGCGAGTAGCACCTGTGATGGCCGGTAGGGCACACGAGGGGGTGGGTGGCCAGCACCACGCCCGGCCGTCTTTGTCTCCCCCAGTGG